CAGCGAAGAGCGGCTGAACCCTACGGCCCTGTCACTGCTTTTGCTACGGCAAGCCGCATCCTTGTCCTCCATGTCATCATTTTCCATGCAGGTCACTCACCTCCCACCTCCTGCCCAACAAATTTAACACAAAACCTGCTCCATGCCCTGGGTATTGGAGGCTCCCCAAAGACCATTCCTTCACCCGAGGCAGAGGAGAGGACCATGACCAGATGCCCTCCCTGCCCGGCTGGTCTCTCCCTCCCAATAGGGAAGAGCCCTGGGGAAGCGGCAGGTAACTCAGAGCAATTGCTGCCAGCTCTGGAGAGATGGAGAGGGCAGAGACCAGGTTTTACTCAGCAATTCCTCTGTCAGAGGCTGACATATTGTGAAGCTTTTGGATATTCTTTGCACAGAGAGTATGGAGATGGAAGTAGCAGATTCAGGATCAAGGGAGAGCTTTTTCAAATTAAAGAAATGCGCCTTTGCAGACAGCTCTTGAGGAACAACAGAATGGGAATGCAGCCCTCAGCCCCGACTAGGCACCCGCTGGTCCAAAACAGGTGACTGTGGGCAGGTGTAGGCTTGGTCAAGAGGTAGCAAGGGGTGACACAAGCTAATCCCGTTTACATGCCGATGTACACTCACCCCTGTGTGCTTATACTCTCCTCTGTGTGCTCATACTCACCTCTGTGTGCTTATAAGCAGCACAGGTCTTTGTGTGCACAGAAGCTACAAAAATACCAGCGGAGCTTTGCCCTGCCAGCAAAGAGGAGACACATGCTCCACAAAGGGTTAATCCTTAGTGCAGGTAAAATGGGTTATAATTCAGCCGAACGCTGGGACTGTTGTCAGCCAGATCTGATCACCACCTGCAGGAAAAACCCAAAGTTTTTCTTGCCAAATCCAAAGTGCATCATCATTGCTAAAAGCTGGAGGAACTTGCAGCCTTTTTGGAGTGTCAGCACTGCCCTTCTGGTGTGGTTACAGATTGCAGGAAATCCTGGGCGAGCGGGCAGAGGGGAGGAATGTAACCCGTGGAGCTCTGATTCTCTCCTGTGGATGCTGCACCATGGACTTTGAGCTTAGCCACAGGGTTGTGTAAGTCTCCTGATGACTTGGCAAGAGGAAAAAAAAAGCCACCCTGGAACTACTCTGACATCTGCCCCATCCCTGGAATTGTTCAAGGTCAGGTTGGACAGGGCTTTGAGCAACCTGGTCTGGTGGAAGGTGTCCCTGCCCATGGCAGGGGGAGGTTGCACTGGATGATCTTTGAGGGTCCCTTCCAACCCAAACCCTTCTATGTGTCTGTGACTTCCCATAGGTGCAAGCTCTGACACGTTCCATTTCTGTGCATACATTGCTAAAAATAGCAATTGTCAGTATTTCATTTATTAAAATGCACTATTTCTGTACTTCCACCTTCGTGTTTCTCTACCTTTTTTCCCCCACTTTTTATCTTAATACCCTTCTCCCTACCAAAACTGCAACCAATAAAACTGGGTATGGAACAGCTAGGGGATGGCAGAGCACGTGCAGAGACAATGCTGTATCACTTGAGCTCCCAGATGCAGTTTCAGGGATGGATAAGGGGTTTTGGTAAGGTGGTTAATTTTGCCCTGAGATGAGCAGTATCCTGATCCCTGTTGAAAAATGCAGAAAAATCACTTAGAAGTCTGTGTTATTTGGATGAAGATTTTACAGTTTTTCTCCCGTTTTCTCCGATAACATCTTCCCGTTGTCCTAACCTGGAGTTCAGGATAAAAATGGTTAAGGCTCATAGAGAAACCTAAGCAGACGATGGAGTTCAGGATAAAAATGGTTAAGCATGGCTCATAGAGAAACCTAAACAGAGGGTTTTCAGGCAAACTCCTGGAACATTAACACAGCCTGAATTGGTCAATGAGGAGGTAAGAAAGTGTTTGGAATTTACCTGGAACTCACTTTATTATGCTGCTTCCTCTTTCTCTCTCTTTCTGCCTCGTTCTCTCCCCTGAGGTCATGGGACAGCAGCCCTGCAGCTGTGTCCAGATGTTGGGATTTAAGGTGTTCTGGTGAACAGTCGGTCACTTCCCCTGCACCAGATTGTCAGCAGGAGGGAAGCCCTGACCTGACCTCAGCAGTGCCAGCACAAAGCCAGCACCCAAAAGCTTCCACCCACAGCCCAGACAGATGTAACCGGGTGGCGAAAGTGGCTCCTGCCATAAACCTGTCTCCCAAGTTGTGGGAGTCATGGACACGTGCAGCTCGTACGCTGCTGGATTGCATTTGGAAGTTGACTTCTGTGTTTATGATAGGGAAAAAAAAATCCATGCATATTAAAAACACAACAGCAGAAAGGTCTTTCTCAAAGCAAATCTTCCAGGATGGCTTGAGTTAAATCTCTTATCGTCTCTGCAAGGGCTCAAATAGCATTTAGGCAGAGCACAGATGACGTGATGTGTGCCTTGGTATGTGTCTCGAGTGCGAATTGCAATTATCTGTGCAATTAAGCATCCGGGATAAGTGTCCCTCCAGACAGAATTTGTTCTTATCTGGTGTTGAACGTCAGCGTAGGTTGGTGGTGGCGTTTCCTGCCTGGCAATGCAGACCGGGAGGTGAGGAGGGAGAAGCTCAGACGGCTGATTCCTCCGACTGCACGTTGAGCTGAGGTTGTCGTAGGGGAACAGGACAGTGCTCATCACAGGACAAATTTAACCGCCCTATTCCTTTCAAATTGATCAACGCAATCCGTATTAAAAATGACCCCAAAATGGCAACTTTCACACCTGCAAACTGGATATTGTGAAGCCAGGGAATGAGAAAAATATCACGCACTTCATGCCACAGCATCATTCGTAGCATCTCATTTTTCCCTCTCTTGCAAAATATGTACTGACACACTGTTTAAAGCACATCACAGAGTACTTAATTATTCTGTAAAGACTCAAATGCCTTAATATCTAGTTGGCTGGTTTTTGGTGCCACTGAGCTGGCTGAAAACCAAGTATTTTTTTCCCTCTGTATTGAAACAAGGCAGAGAGAGGATGTCAGGTTCACCTGATCAGAGTCAGGCTTTTCTTAGTCTTGAAAGATAATTTATCCTTGTAGGTTTAAAAACTCTTCAGCTGTGAATAATTTAAACAACGCTTTATATAAATGATGACATACAACAATATTGTAATTTGTAGGGTATGCAATGCATTCACTTTATTATAGCCAAAATTGTGACATTGATAATGCTGGTGAAGAAAGTATCTCAGAAAGCAAGCAAGAAAGTATCAGAACACCAGTGATTTTGGTGATGATAAGCAAGCCTTTCCAATTCAATGAGCTTCATCTAACAACTCATTTGATCCTGTGACACATCCGGTTATTTAGACTCGTGTGGATACATGGGTGGTTTCACATTTTCTACCTTTTTCTGTGTACATGTATATCAATCTAGGAAATCAGGTAGCTTTTCAAGAGGCTTTTAAAATGCTGTCCTACTCTGATGCTATCTTACTTCGATATTATCCTGGTGTGGTTTGTTTCTGTAAGCTTTACTGCCACATAAATCCTGAGTTAGCTCCAACTTTCATTGAGACAGGAAGGGGCTTATCAGCACATGCAAAGCCTCCAACAGACTAATTTAGGTTATCACAGAAAAAGGAGAAGGACTTCCTATACCATCTGAAGAAATTTCATTATTGTCCAAAAACCAGTTTGAAGTCCAAGCCCACCTTCTGAAAATCAGGCATTAACTCATGAAGGAATAGATGGTGTCTCTTAAGGGAAGAACAAACTATCAGAATTTTAACAAGCATGTTGAAAAGAGGAAAATATTACTTAGGGTTCAGATCTGATGGCTAAGACAACTGGGTTGATGAAATGTTAAACCGTTGAGAGTCTTCTGCCAAAACACTTCTTACCCAGGGTAGGAACTTTGAGAGGTTGGTGTATACTCCGTATTTCCCTGGCCTTCCGCACCCTTCTCCCCAGCTGATGATCCCAGTAACAAAGTAAGTGCCGTTGTACTGGGTTATGTGGGGGCCTCCTCCATCTCCCTGGCAGGCATCTTTTCCGTGTTCATCGTAACCAGCACAGAACATGTTTTTTGTGACTGGTTTATAAAGGGCGTTCTTGCAAGTGGTCCTGTTCACATAAGGGATTTGAAGCACTTTCATTCTCTTGACCGGCTGTGTACGTTCAATCGTGTTCCCAAAGCCACTGACAATTCCAAATCTTTGGTTCATCAGAACATCCGTAGCAAAGTCTTCTTCTGGAAGGCATGCTGGGACAACATCCTCAGAAAATGTGATAGGTTCCTCTAATTTGAGAAGGGCTATGTCGCTGTCGTAAGTGTCTGTATCAAAGTCATCATGTGTAATTATTTTTTCCACTCTGTGCATTGATCTACTTGGCTCTTCCTTTTCCTTGTCCACCATCCCTGTGTCAGATTATTAAAGTCGTTGTTAATAAGAGAATACCAGCAAGTCTAAACTGCATCTCAATAAAAGAAGGGACCAAAGTTCCTTGCACTTTGCACAAGTGTTGCACTGTACAAATAAAATCGGCCAGTCCCGTATCCTGATGCTGTAGCATTTTGTACCCATTTTGGGATTTTAGAGGGCTGCCAAAATACTAGGGAAGTAGACAATCAGAACAATGGTCTCAATGAAAGCTTTAGTTAAAAGTTTTGGGCTTCATTATGATATTCCCAATGGCACCTTTATGATATACAGCCAAAAGCCTCCACACAGAAGAGAAGGATCTTGTCCCTTTCATTCCTAGAGCAACATAGTCAAACAGACGTAAACAGGGAATAGATATTCATTGTCTTTTAAAACTTTAACGTTCTGCATACAAAAATGTACAAGTTTCTATGTATTTAGTCTTTCTCAATTTGTATGAAGTCTCTTTGGGAATTAAATGGACAGACAATTGGAATTTAGGCAAACACAATTTTGTTTTACTATTGTAGGCTGACTACAATTTTTATGGCTCGGAACACCATTTTTCAGTGCCTAGAACTTGTGATACACTACTTTTTCATAAACAGCAGTAATAAATAACAAATTTGAGGTTTCAGGTATGGAACAGTCTCAGGCTAGTACTACAGGCTGTCAAAACGGTTATTGCTAACATCTGAATGAGGCATCTGGAATTCTTCAAGGTTTGGCCAACACAGGAAATAATTGCATAAAGGTGTAATGTTAGACCAATTTAACTACAACAGCTCAACCTTACTTGCCCGCATACCTTCCCAGTCTGTACTTGGCTTCTCTCATATACAAGCTACACTAGGCCAAGCCAAGCTTAAAGAAACTGTCCATTCAACAAAGCTGAACATGTATTTAATTGTTAGTCAAGAGACAAGATCACAGAATCACAGAATGGTTTGGGTTGGAAGGGACCTTAAAGACCATCCTGTTCCAACCCCCCTGCCATGGGCAGGACACCCAAGATGAGGCAGTAAGAAATAACAGGAGGGTAAGAAAAACTCTGGCAGAGCTCAGTGTTTTGCATTTGGAGACTAAAACACGGGACAGTTTCTTATTTTTGTAGTAAAGGACAAAATGAGAAGCACTTACCAACAAGAACATGTAAGCTTTTAGACCACTCTTTAACGCAATGAGCTGCAGAAAGTATAAAATACTCATTCAGAATTGTCCCCCCACAAAACCATTCATTGTAATCATCTGCTAGTAGAACAGCCTGCAAAGAGAGAGAAGAAAGATAAAGCACAAAAACACATGTACAGAGGAATCCTGAACAGCCAGCTGAGGTTCAGGCAGTTTTCTTAAAGCTGACTTTTTCACACGCATTTCCTGTCAAAGACACTCATTCAGAGGTGGTGAAACTTACTCTGAGGTGTAGTCACCACAGTGGGAAACTTGTCAAGCCAGACCTTCTCCCTGACTCAGAGCAGAATTTGTGCATTGTTATTGTACCAACGGGTTTTGATTGCTATTTTTTTAAACAAAATGTGGCTAATATGGAAATAGCGCAGCTCCTGCCTGCGGGTTTTTTTTTTTGTTTTGCTTTAGTCTTGGCCACAACAAACTCAGGCTATTCTCATACTGCTGCAACCCGAATAACTGGGCGGTTGGCAGGGAAGGGGCCCTGTGGCCCACCCAGCTCTGCACCCCATATCCGCAGCCCTACTTCTCTCCTACCTCCCCAGCTCAGCATTTGCTCAACGCTGAAATGGAGGCCCAACGCCACTCACGTGCAGAAACACAGTGCTCAGGAGTGTGGTGGCCACCCAACATGTTGGCACCGGGGAAGTCCATCTCCCATCAAGCCAGGTTCCCTTGGCAAGTGGGGATGGGCACGATGAGGAGGTAAATGGCTGCTGGGCCTGGTGAGCAGGGTCAGGCGTTACACATCTCAGGACAAGGCACCTTACCTGCCATGGGGACACGCTGGGTAAGCTGCCAGCCTCACCGGTGACCTCCGGATGGCTGCTTGGGGCCTCAGTGGTCTCCTCATTTTCAGGATGAGCATGTGGACTTGCTGTGGTTGCTGTGACTTTCTCTGGACCGGCTCCGTGATTTCTCTGAAGCCTCCCACACGGGAACTTGACTGCAAAGGCAAAACCAATACACTAACACTTGGCGTCTGGCTGGGTACTGGGACTTTGAGGCATGTGTGGCATGCTGAGAGCAAGGCGTTCGTGCCCCTAATGCTGGGCAAACATCTGGGAAGGCTCCACTGCTATTATCAGCCTTCGCTTCAGCTCAGAGCTACCTTTTGTGCTGACTTAAGCCAATATATAGATGTGGAGGGCCACGGTCTTGCACATCGGGGAGGGCTGGTGCCTGTGCTGTCCGTAAGGCCCCAAGCCAAGTGACACGCAGGGTTACCCTCCAGCAGAGCAAAAGGACAGACAGCTGCCGTTGAAAACCATTTCTGTTACTGAAGTGGCATTCCACAGAGCCTGTCTGACACAACCCTTCGTATAAGGGACATTTCATGGTCAGAAGAGTTAAGTCTAGCTTCTGGTGCGTCTCGTGTTGTTCTTCATTGCAAGAAATCACCCAAACCTGCTGGAGCTGAGTTTTGCTATCAAAAGCATCCTTTAGAGTTGCAGATATATACCCACAGTGGAGGAAAATGGTTTGCAGGGGAACAGGACACTTTCAGGGATTCAACTCTTCATGATAACAAGAGAAAACTCAACAGTCCAAGGAAAACTCCTTGACAGCAGCCTTTTGCAATCAATCAGATATGCAGGTGCCCTTGTGAGGGTTGTCTCTGCTAGATTTTTCAGCCCATTAAAAAACCTTTGCAAATGGGAAAGGACCGAAATGTTTGAAAACATGACAATCATTTTCCACTTCTAAAACTTGCACATTTTAGGCAAGCGGGCAAATGGGTTCAGCATTTTCAAAGTTTTAAAAGTTAAACATCTTCTATTATTGACATATTTTTTTTTAATGTACCTGATGTTGCTAAATCTTTAGTAACTGGAAAACAGAGTATTCTATGTTAGGAATTATAAGCTAATGACTGCAATCGGGTATTAGATTCCAAAGGGCATTATAACAAATATCATCAGACAGACAGAAGAATGGACTAAGATTAATAATTGTTGATGTTCACTTCGAATGCAGACAAACTGGTGGATTTAAAATCAATCTCAGTAGTTATTCATGTATTTAGGTTACCATATGTTAACTGAAGGAAAACTGCTTCTAGAAGAAAATAGAAAGGCAGGTTGTATTCCTTTTAAGTTAAACAGGTGATATTTGAGGGAAAACAAGTGAGATATAGCTGCGATCACATTATGTGACTATGACAGCTTCCACAACATCGGAAGGATATAGACCGGTTGGAGCGAGTCCAGAGGAGGTCACGAAGATGCTCAGAGGGCTGGAGCACCTCTGCTATGGGGACAGGCTGAGAGAGTTGGGCTTGTTCAGCCTGGAGAAGAGAAGGCTCCGGGGAGACCTTACCGCAGCCTTCCAGTACCTGAAGGGGCTACAAGGAAGCTGGGGGGGACTTTTTACCAGGGCTGGTAGTGACAGGACAAGGGGTAACAGGTTTAAATTGAAAGTGGGGAGGTTTAGATTAGATATCAGGAGAAAGTTCTTCCTGGAGAGGGGTGGGAGGCACTGGAACAAGTTGCCCAGAGAAGCTGTGGATGCCCCATCCCTGGAAGTGTTCAAGGCCAGGCTGGATGAGGCTCTGAGCAACCTGGTCTAGTGGAAGGTGTCCCTGCCCATGGCAGGGGGGTTGGAACAGGGTGGTCTGTAAGGTCCCTTCCAACCCAAACCATTCTATGGTCCTATGATTCTATGACTGAAATGACTGAAATGATAATGAGTCCTTGTGAACTATATATTGTAAAGGGAGAAGTTTCTTGAGTTCTTCTTGGTTGGATCTGTAGGTGCTCAGCACACTCCAGAGGTCTTAAAAATAGACACCAGTTTTCACCAGTGGTAAATTTAACCCAATCCTTTCTAACAAATACTCCTGAAGCTTGGATGGCCTGTTTCAGACTGTGAGAGAAGAGGAATCCATGCCCTATTATAATCCCAGCTCCCCATATGGCTTCATACCTGCTGGGACATGCGTTTGCAGTCCGCTCCAAGAATGCACCCACTTACACAGAATACTTCTGTGACCTATGTTTTGCTACTGCACATCGCTCACAGTTACACAATTTGATGTTACTTAAATTAGGACCTTTAGCTAAGATCTTACTAAATTTGTTGGCAACAACTCAAGAAAGCCACGAGAAAGGGGTGAACAGTTAACATTATTCTTTATGCTACAATGGCACTGCAGCACTTCCCAAACGTGGTGAGGATGCGGTGTGTGTCCCATAGAACAAACTTGAAGCGCAGCTTCGTACCTACAGGAACGCAGGTTTTGTTGTCATCGCCCAGGGCATAGCCAGCAGCACAGGAACATACGACTCCTTCACCTTCAGATGTGCAGAACTGCTCACAGTCCCCGTTGTTGACCTTGCATCCATTTGGTACGACTGCAGAGAAGACAAATGCATAGGCAGGTTAGAAGTTCACGGTGATTTCATAAAAGCACAAGCAGCTCATAAAACCTCGCTTGCAAACATAAGCCAAACACATCGTTTGGGGAAATTCTGTGCCATCATAACTATTGTTATTTAAAAAATGGTAAGCTGTCAACATTAGGTAGACCCCTATTATTTTCCATCTTATGCTGTGTTTCCCAGCTATAACTGGCAGTTCTTTGAGGGCAAAGCAAGGGATAATCCGTACTCATCGGAACAGTGTGAGAGCAAGGAGAGGTAAACCAGTCCTAACAGATGTTGTCTAACCTGTTCCTACAGATTCACAAGGAGCTTCCACTGCTCGCCCACGCAGCTTAATCTGCTCCTTAACTAGCCTTAATAACATCTAAAAAGTGTTTCCTAATACCTGAGTGTCCCTCAGAGTGATGGGATCCCATTACTTCCTGTCCTGGCTGTTCATCCTTGTGAAATAGAGACTTCTTGCTTTTACTACATTTTACAGATTTCCTTGTTTACATGTTGTGGGACCAAGGGTGAAATTTTGGTTTTGTGTTTACTGAATTGCCTCCTAGTTATGTTGGACCACTGTCCCAGTTTCACAAGATTGTTTTGAACTCTCATTCTGACTTACGGTAGCCCTTCCAGTCTGGAATGAGCTACAAATGCAGAGAGTAAACACTCTTGCGTCTTGCATGTCCCTGTGGAAAATACTAAGTAGCAGAGGTCCTCAGGCCCACCTGTGTGAGGCCATGCACTCTGTATACTCTTTCAGCCAATTGGCACAGTTTCCCAGCCACATGTGCCCCAAACTTACATGAGTTTTGTCCAGACCAGGGTCTTTGTGTTACAAAAACCAGCCTGTTACCCTGTCCTTGATGGAGATTGATGTGATTTGTTCCTGACTAGCGCAGCTCAGCCGTTTCTTTTCTCCTTGTTATATAAATAACCTGGTGCTTTAAGGAATAAAGATATTTTTCATTGGGAACAGACTGACATATTTCTTGGTCTCTTCCAATATCCATATACTTAGATCAGCTCTTGATTTTCGCATCATGTTTATCTTATTGTATTTACTCCTCAGCTTTTCTGGTTTTATGCCAGGATGTTTGCAATTCCTTTTATACAGATTTAGGTTTTTCTATATTTCCTTCCAGAGGTCAGGTCATGAAGGAGCTCATGATTTTAATTAATCCTCCTGCCCTTTCTTGACCTTGGGATGGTTTGGACACTTGGGGTTTTGTGGGGTTTTATAGAATTAGCCTGATCTTTCTCTCTTTTAAAAGATACATTGATTTTGTTCTCTTGTTCTATTTCTTTGCTTCCTTCATGAGCATTGTCATTTTACAGTTAAATTTTATTAAAGTCATCTTCCCTCTTTGTGTTGTCAGCCACTTCTAGTCTGTTGATTAAAATCAGATGTGGATGAGTGCACTCAAAATTGCTCTCTACATGTTTGTATGAGAAAATTCTGCTTGAAACAGATGGAAGACTCTCAGGGCACCCCATGTCCCACTAAATACCTTTCCCATCTCACCGCTTGGGTGTCAAAATCTCCCTCTAACTTCCAGCTCTTGTAAAGTGGATTACTCAGGTGTTTGTTCAGTTGTCTCCAGCCAGCCCTCTGTCATCACCAAATGACTTTTACAGCAAAATTAAACAACAAGGCACGCATCCCGTCTGTGGCATGATTCACACGCTTACTCTCTAGCGAAGCATCTCGGGGTCCAGCCTGAAAGACAGGTGGGATGCTTCCTGAAGTGCAGGTGGGATGTCTGTGTTGAGACTTGGACAAGCACAGTGGGTGATGGTGTAGGGTTCTTGTTTCTCTCTGTACTGTTAAAACTTGTGGGGTTCATTTCATCACCCAACAGCTTACAAATGATTAGTAAAGATTATTTAATTATCACATCTTTTGAGGACATGAAAAATAGTACATGGTTTGTGTTGTCAGTTTGAAAGCCCTTCATATTGACATATTAACCCCGTATTTTACACCGACACAATTGTTTCGGTCCAAAATGGTATTCCCCTAGTGACTCAGCCCTGATATTTTTGCACTGCAGCAGACAAATCAGAGCAAGGTGGGTGAAAAAGCAAAGCTACCAGGTTTTCACTCATGTCACCCTGGTCCACAAAGCACAAATAGTGGCAAATAATCACCTGCGTAGTTTAGGCAAAGCAGCACAAAGCCAAGTTAAAGGAAAAGCCATACCTGTCTGCACCATCTGAAGGAAAAGGAGGACAATGGGAAGAAGCCACATCGTCCCGCGGGGACCTGCCATTGCCATCCTCTGGGCTGACTGCGCGGCTTACACCGGGTTCTCTGCAGGACTCTGGGGCAGCTGCTACATGAGAAACACTGCAGTGCAAAGGTCGTTTACTCACGAGAAACCAAAACTTCTGAGAGCAAAGCCTGGGCTCAATGTCAGCACAGGACAATGGTAAAACATCAAAAAGCCACTGGGCTGCAGCAATGCCAGCGTGACAACTTGCAGGCACCTCGTGTTGGCAAAGCTGATGCATGGGTGGCACGGACCTGGGTTTGCCACCAAGGCTGCGACACCTGTGTGTTTCAGATTCCTTGTGAAGAGGGGAGTCCATAAACCAGGGTAGGTTCTACCCCAGTAGAATAACATGTGGTCACACCGTTAAACTTGGTTATGCTATGAAAACTCCAGATACCAGGCTGCCACTTGGTGATTTACGCTGCAGGACCATGGTCTGTGGCTGTTCCCTTTCTCCTTCTCTGCTGTGGGTGGCTCTGTATCTTCAGGAAATATGGATGAGCCTAGAAGAGCCTTATTAGCCAGGCATCAAGGAGCTAAAGTGATGTGTTTGTTTCCCATGTCCCAGTGAAGACAGAGCAACCAGAGCCAGAGCTTTGTGCCTCCTGCAGACTGGACTGAAGCAGGAAAGCGGCTCAGAAGTCAGGAGCAGCTCAGAGCACCAAATTTGCAGAGCTCAGTAAGCATATTGCAAAATGTTGCCTCCCAGCTCTGGTAGTGCCTTAGGAAGCCAGTAAAGCGTAGAGCTAATCAGAACAAGAGAAAACAAGAAGGAAAGGTATTGCACAAGGTTTTGGTCTCTTATTCCAAACGGCTGCAGTTGGAAGTGCTGTATATAGGGTGAAATTGATTGTCATGCTCATAGGTGAAGCCTTTGAATCCAGAGGAGCTGGTAAGCAGCACAGATGCAGCAGGCTGGATGGGACCTCTGGGGCACACAGCATCCACTCTCTGACACAATCACCAGACTATACTTCCACAAACTCATCAATTTCCACCTTGTTCTGGATGGATTGGTTAGGTTTTTTTTGGCTCACAGCACATCATGGGACAGCTGTTGACAGGGCCTTGTGGTCTGGGGCCCTGCCTACAGAATACAATCCTGTCAGGTGAGTCACCTGCATCAGGGAGCAGTAAAGAGGGAGGAAAACCTTGCTCGTTATTACTGTGCTAGCATAGGTCACAACTGCATCACCGTGACTCTTTGCTTGTGTTGCTCTCCTGCAAGTACAGAAAGACGTCCTAACAAGATGTCCAGGATCACCCTGTCCAGCTTTTTGATCCCACAAGGGTTTAAGTTTACCTCTAGTATTCTTGCCACGTTGGCCAAGGCCCCTGTGAAGGACCCTCCTGGGAAATTCCATCCAGTTGTACACCGCACTTGCAAAAGTGTGTTTTCCTGACGTACTGTAGGATACCATAACGAAGGCCAACTCATCCACCTTCGTTCCCTAGGGCAGCCCCCATCATGCTGCACTCCTGACAGCTAGCTGCCTCTCCTGCTCGGAAAGACTACTGCCATCAGAGGCGTTACTGCCCTCCAGACAAACCCTATTAGAGAGAGGGCTTCTCGAGCCACAGTGTGAGAAGGTTTTCCCCTGGGAACTCCCTGAAACTGAGATATGCTATGTCTTTTTACCTTCACGACAGACATGAAGATCTGCCTAGTCCTATGTCTCTGCAGCAGCCTTTTGTACACATGAAGGCTGTTCCTAGGTCCCTCCTCAGGCTTTCTCTATTTGACTCCAAAGAAGCCTCATTTTTAGAAAGCCCAGTGCCCCATGCACAAGTCTCTTGCCCAGATACATCAACTTGGACTAGGCCTGAGCAATGTCCTACCTTTTTATTCCTCATCAGTTCTTTCCGTAGCCTCAAAGTGATTTCACTGTCTATTTCCAACCTTCCTTTCTTCCCTTTCTTCTCAGGACTGGCTTTTCCTTGAAGGCTGAGAAAGCCTGAACCGTACAGGGTAGCTTAGAGCTGCTGCTTCCGCCATCTGTGGTAAATGTCAGCTCTTGCCCAAAGCAGCAGTGTTCGCTTGCCGTGAAGAGTTACACTGGTGTGTAAACCCACCAGTTTACACAGCAGCTGTGTGCCGTACCTCTTGCCTGGATTTTACAATCTGTTCATATTCTTGCTATGTGAAATTACCCCAAAACGACTAGTCTACATAAAAAAAGTGTGCTTTAATTCTATCTTTCCTGCAGGCCCTAGAGTTGGTTGTGGGATTTGGTAGGAGGCCAAGATGCAAGCTGATGTTCCACTCATCCTCTCAGCATGGCAGAGACACTGGAACAGAACGAGGAATGAAGATGAGGCCCTCGAGCCTCAGGCACTATGGGCACCATGGTGCAGGATGAAAGGCTGTCTAGGAACCAGTTTCATTTGTAAAGGACAAATAAACTCTGATTGCAAAGCAGGAGGACAAAGTCCCTCATACTCTGCAGAATAATGACACTTCTAAGCACAGTTGTGTGGCACATCATACACAAACATGGACTTTCATCACCCTCTTGCATGCTTGTCAAACCAGCTCTGTGCCCGCTCACAAGGTGCTGATTGGCTTGACAAGGAGGTATATACACACACACCAGTGAGTAAACCCCAGCAACTGCCACCAGGGCCAGAGGAAGGTCCTCGCCTCAGCCACCCCAACACCTCATGTCGTCCAGCCTGACTTGCACTTCAGTACTCAAGCTTCAGTGAATGCCCTTGGCACAAGCAGGGCCAGAGGAGGCCACGAAGATGCTCAGAGGGCTGGAGCACCTCTGCTATGGGGACAGGCTGAGAGAGTTGGGCTTGTTCAGCCTGGAGAAGAGAAGGCTCCGGGGAGACCTTACTGCAGCCTTCCAGTACCTGAAGGGGCTACAAGGAAGCTGGGGGGGACTTTTTACAAGGGCCTGTAGTGACAGGACAAGGGGTAATGGGGGGGTGCAAATTGAAAGTGGGGAGGTTTAGATTAGATATCAGGAGAAAGTTCTTCCCGGAGAGGGTGGTGAGGCACTGGAACAGGTTGCCCAGAGAAGCTGTGGATGCCCCATCCCTGGAAGTGTCTAAGGCCAGGCTGGATGAGGCTTTGAGCAACCTGGTCTAGTGGAAGGTGTCCCTGCCCATGGCAGGGGGGTTGGAACTGGATGGTCTTTAAGGTCCCTTCCAACCCAAACCATTCTGTGATTCTGAGTATGTAAATAGGATTTGGGTAGCACCTAGGCCTGAAGTTTTCCCTTTAAAGAGGGATGTTTCAACCTGATGGAGCACAGGCCAGGCTTACCAGGGAACGTGGGACAAGGGATTAGAAGGTACAAGCAGGAATCCAGTGCCCAGAAGTCAGGGAACAAACATTTCTGAGCAAACACTGAAGTAAGCCTGGTGAAAGTTTATACAGCAGAGACTATCAAGCTGGGGTAAGCGACCTGCAGTCCTTCCTGCGTGCATTTACTGCTGACTGCAGCAATACCCTGCTGCTCTGCAGAGTTGTATTTCTCATTTTTTCGACCAGGTTTGCTCACAGCACCTGCTATGCGAAACTAGCCCATACCAGCTCAAGCCCTGAGAGAGAAGTAGGAGGTGTCTGGTGAAGTTCAGTGTAGCTCAGACAACAGGGGAGTGTAACAGATTGGAGGAGCCCTGGAAAGGCCATCCGGTTGGTTTGTAGCCTAGAGCATATGATGTACTGTAACAGGCTGAGGGGTGTGGGTTTGTTCAGCCAGGGACAGCTGGGAGATCTAACTGCAGTCTTCCACTGCCTAAGCAGGAGTTACAGTGGAGACAGGGCCAACCAATTCCCAGAGGTGCCTGCAGAAAGAAGATGAGGCAGCAGTCAGAGGTTGCAACGAGGAAAACTCCAATTGGACACAAGAGCACTCAAGCACAGGAACAGGTTGCCCAGAGGGTAACAAAATCCCTGCCTCAGAAGTTTTTCGAAGCTTGGCTGGACCAGAGCCTGCACAACCTGCTCTAACTTTGATGTTAGCCCCGCTTTGAGCACGGGGTTGGACCAGATCAATTCCATCTGTCCCTTCCATTGTAACTTTTCCCATGATTTCTGTAACTAGGACTGAAGGTGAGAAGTTTTAAAGAATAATAGATATATTAGGAACACTACTCCCCATACAGAACAACCACCAGAGTGCAGAGCTTCTGCCTGGAAACCTTATAGCCCAGATGAGGTCACAGTACCTGAACAGACTATGAGTGGGAGATCACAGGTTGAGCTAGTCTTTTTCTAAGAAAACGTGTATCTTGGCATCAAGAAAATGTATATCTTGGCATCTAACTTGCCATTTATCAACCTCTAGGCCGGTGAGTCTTTTAATTACCCCCCTCCATCCTTTACCTCCTCATCAGCCTTGACATAATGCAGGTGAAATGCGTCACGTATTTGTTTAGGGACATTCACTCTTCAGTGAGATTTTGTCTTCATCTATCAGTGAGGTGACTGGAGGGAATAAATAAATAAATAAAAAGAACAAAAAAGAAAGCCTGTTTTATTTCCAATGCTGGTGTACATCAACGTTGCACCTTACAGAAACACCTCGAACAAGTACGTGTGCAAGGAGCTTTCCAACCCTCAGCCATACACAATCCAGCCCATGATATGGGAAACAGTGAATATGCACATATATATATTTTTTTTTCTGATGAGCAGAAGTGTTCAAAATAAACTAAAGTGAAGTGCAGTCTACATAAAGCAAAACTCATTTTAATTATTGGCTGTGACCTAAGCAGGCAATTTTGTGGGACGTGTGGTTATTTAGCATCACATGTTGAATACTCATTTGTGTCGCAGCTTTTACCAAGCAAGCTTCCCTGCTCCCTTAATCTTCTAAATGCATCTGCAGGTAGAAGCTAAACAGCCCTAGTAATAACAAATGCCCCAGTGAGCCAGCTGACTGCAGTACGAGGATTAATTGAAGTCCTGTCCTTCCCACTTTCATCACGATTGTCCGGGAGCCTCCGGCAGAAGCACTTGGGCAAACAGGCAGGAACCAAAATGGCAATATAAAAATAACCAGCCAAGCAAGCAAAGGAGCCCACTGAGCAGCCATTTAGTTTGGGGAAAGTCCCTCACTGGACAAATTCAAAACAAAACCAGCAGTCCACATATACGTGCTTCAAGCCAGGAATACACCAAAATGAAGCAGCACCATAACTTTAAGGAATTGCATCTCGCAAGGAGTTTAGCAGATGTGGCTAGAAAAAGAATAGCCAGCTTTCCCGTGATGGAAAGCGCGCCTCGTTAGCTACCGGAGGATCAAGAGCCACACCGCTAAAAATTCTGTCTCATGACCGTTCTTACCCAGCGTAAGAACCTGGACAGCTTGGTATAGACACCATATTTGCCTTTCTTTGCACATCCCTCTCCCCAGCTAACGATTCCAGTAACGAAGTAAGTATCCTTGTATCTGGTGACATGAGGGCCTCCACTGTCTCCTTGGCAAGCATCCTTCTGCTCTGTTTCATAACCTGCGCAGAACATGTTTTCTGTTATTGCAAAGTTAGTGGATTGCTTGCAAGTGCTCCTATCGACATAGGGGACTTCCAGCACTTTCAGTTTTTTGGATAGTCGTCCGCCTTCAAATTCACGCCCGAAGCCACTAACCATCCCAGATCTCTGGTTCATCAGAACTTCATTGGCAAAGTCTGCTTCGGGGAGGCACGCTGCGATAACGTACTCGGAAAACGTTACAGGTTCCTTCAGCTTTATCAAGGCTATGTCATTATCGTACGTCTCGGCGATGTATTTAGAGTGAACAAGTATTTTGTCTACGGTATGCATTGTTTCAGACTGTTCTGTCTTTTCTCTGTCCACTTCACCTGTGCAGGATTATTAAAAGGGTCATTAATACAGAGATAGTGTAAGAAATTAAGAACAAACCTGATGAAGAAGTATGCCCATTCCCAACACTTCGCCTAAGCCTTCATACCATACAAGCAAACTTAAAAACGTACTGCGATGTTTATCAGCAGCTCCTGGATTCATTTCGGTCCTGAGCTTTTTTCTGTGGAGATTTTTACACCAGCTTACAGAAAGGCATAAACCAATTCAGCTAAACTTTGGGTGGAAGCTCTTAAAGGAGCCCGAGCCTGGCTTATATCAGGGAAGAGAAACTGGTCTGGGTCAAGACTAAAAGAGTGCGAATATAAAGTTGCGTTGATCGAGTATCGTGCCTCAGAAGTGAAGCGGTCATAATCTGAGTTCCCTTCTTCTTCCTCTAGTCCATGTGTCATAGCTTTCCTGAGTGTTCAAAGGACTCTGTGTGCTTCAGATGTGTGGGGAATGATAAGCTTTCCGAAGCAGTGCTGCTCTGATGAACACGATCCTAGCCGACATTCCTAGAACATTTGTTCTTAATCACCTCCAGCTAGCTGGCCAAGAAGAAAGGGATGCACCTTTATGACCTTCAGCTGCCCCTGTTATTACGAAGCAGGACTCCCACACTAACATTATAAAAAACCAAACAACAACAAAAAAAGTAACAAACAGTAACAAATAAAGTAATACGAGTGCATTCACATGGGATTTAGAGCAGATGATTAGTCTGCAAGACATGCCCAAACAACACAGGGATAAAATAAACAAGCACTTACCAACAACAACTTTGATTTCTTTAGATTGGTTCATGCAATGAGCTGCAGTAAGTATAAAATTTTCATTCAAAATGGTTCCACCACAAAACTCTTCCCCTGCCTCATTTAACAGAACAGCCTGTGAAAGAAAAGAGTGAAGTGCAGAATTAAGAGGAGCAGCTTAACTTCAGTGAGCTACAGAGAGGTAGTTGATTTCTCTGCACACTACATACATGCTCCTTACTACAAGTATGTGCTACTCCACACGTGACTCCTAATACTGCATGCACACGCTGCAGATTGGCATCTGCTGCTACAGGCTCAACTGTCTTTACGTGCTGTCGACGTTTGGCTTCCGTGTCACCGCACTCACAGAGCTTAGTAATGTCTTTTAGGAACAAGACGCTGACTGACCGAGCAGGGAGAATGCAGCCCCCAAATCACTTCATCCCTTGGACTTATCATCCCAAAGAATTCCTGTCCAAGTTCTGTTCCCATATGAAACACCCCCCCCTCAGTGTCCCTAATACAGGAACTCATTTTGGCTGGTCCAAACCCAAGAGGAAAACTCAGATACGACAGTGTATTTCTGAAACAAATGCGTGCTTTATCTGAGATGCTCTCAGGTGCACTGCCTAAAGGGCCTGCTGTCAGACAGGAGTGGAACAGAACCTGCAAAAATGACACCGGTAGGGCAGCACGACTCGGGTGGTTCCTGACCAGCCAAGGAACCTGAACATACGTAAGTCTGCGGGACCTGACGAGAGACATCCCAGAGTCCTGAGGAACTTGGCTGATGAAGTTGCCAAGACACTCTCCATGATATCTGAAAAGTCATGGCAGTCAGGTGAAATCCCTGGTGACTGGAAAAAGCAAAACATTGCACCCACTTTAAAAAAGGATACAAAGGAGGACACTCTGAAGTACCAACCTATGAGCCTCACCTGAGAGGTGGTAGATGCCCCATTCCTGGAAGCAGCCTGGGAAGATCATGGAACAGATCCCCCTAGAAGCTGTGCTAAGACACATGGAGGGCAGGGAGGCGATTTGGGACAGCCAGCATGGCCTCACCAAGGACAAGTCCTGCCTGACCAACCTAGCGGCCCTCTGTGATGGAGAGACTGCATCAGTGGACAAGGGAAGAACTACAGATGTTATCTTTCTGGAGTCTGACATGGTCTCCTAAAAGATCCTTCTCTCCAAATTGAAGAGATACCGATTTGATGAGTGACCTGTGGGGTGGATGAGGAATTGGTTGGAAGGTCACATCCAGAGGGTAGTGGTCAACAGCTCCATGTCCAGATGGAGATCAGTGACAAGTGGTGTCTCTCAGGGGTCTGTGTTGGGACCAGCACTGTTTAATATCATCAGCAATGACATAGTGAGATCGAGTGCACCCTCAGCAAGTTTGCAGGTGACACCAAGCCATGTGCTGTGGTCAACACGCTGGAGGGAAGGGATGCCATCCAGAGGGACCTGGACAGGCTG